TCATCGGTCAACAGCCCGTTGGCCACCTCTGCCGACACGGGCACCTCACTGCCACCCATCACCGGAGAGAGCGAAACGGTGCTCCTCGTCTCGTGATAGAGAGGAGGTAAAGCCACCGGCGGGGTTATTGCCTGGTTCCGATACGCAACATAGGCCGACAGCCTGTCGTAGAAGATGGAGACTCTCTTGTTTGGATTCCTGGTGAGGAGGGTGAACTGCACGGAGGTGGAGATGAAGGGTGGTGATGTGGTGTTGAGTTCGTAGATGGCGGCACCGACCACCATGAATTGGGGCTTGTGGGGACGGTAGACGAGCCAGACGGTGAGGGCGGTGACGCCGGCGAGGAGGAGGAAGATAGCGAGGAAAGTACAGAAGATACGACGAGGGTCTGGGGCGGTTGACGGCGTTTCTGCACCCATATTGTGTTTTTTGTGCTCGTCAGGTGCAGGTGGAGTTTGGGTTTCTTCCATGGATGGAAAGGAGAGTGGGTATATATGCTGGAAGTTATGGTGGAGAGTGAATAAAGTAAAGGGAGGAGGAAAGGGAAGGACGGAAAGTGATGGAGGGTTCCTGAGGGTCTCTTGGGAATTTTCTTTTTATTTTTTGTTTCAGGAACTGAAATGGTTGCATGGAAGATCGACACGTGCATGTTTATATACATCTTAGTTTTTAAATATACGATGCATATAAATCAATTATATCACAAATTATGTATATGCGAGAACAAATAATACCAACTAAAATTATTGAACGTTTATGAAAAGCAAAAAGTAATAGATGAATAGTTAGTGATATATATATATATAGAGTATTTATATTATTAAGTTGCATATAGATATAAAACTTTTTTTATAAAGGAAAACGAGTTGAATTAGGTAGGAGGAGAGAGTAAATAAAGTTAAAATTGAAATGCTTTTCTTGAAAAGATGATGAAAGAAAGGGTGCAGCTTTCTTCTTTTTCTTTTTTGTATTCCGCCATTTTTTTCTATGCCGGTGCTTTTAATTTGTCATTTGCTTAATCAATTTATTTCTCTTTTTAGTGTTTTCTTAACGAAAAAGAGATGAATTTACACAAGGATGTTTAAACAAGTAATTTTTTTTTTTAAAAAGGTTTAACTATAATGTTGGAATACTCATTGGTTTCTCTTCATAAGAAAGTTTCTTTTTTTACTGTTCATAATTTAAATTCAATTTTTTTTTAATAAATCTTAAGAAAAAGGTTAAAAATATCCCGAGATTAAATGTAGAAAGTGTGCTGTTAAAATTGTGAAAAAATAAACTCTTATCATTCAATAAATTGAGTATACATAATATAAAATATAATTACATGTTTATAAATATATTTAAACAGAATTTATTATTCTACATTGATACATTTGATAGGTACCATGTGGATTCATATATATGCTTACGGTAGTCAGCTAAGATTGTGATATTCATATATATCAACATTTGATAGCTAAGACATGGGCGCTTATATGCTTTGGAGTCTGCTAGAAACTGAGGGCACTTGTTTTCGACCAAGTTAAAATTTTGAGTTCTTGACACATGACACCCTACATTTTTCATAGATTTTTGGTCTAAGAGAACGGTGTAAGTTAAATGAAGATTGTAGTGGTCGAAGGTTGTTGTGAGATTTA